ATAAAGACATACTGTTTTAAAGAATTCTATCAATATGAAATCGGAGTACCCCCAACCCCTTCCTGACCTTCCTCGTGTTATCCTGTATCATTGTGTCAAGTTTGGTGCGGATTGACAAAAAAAAATGTGGAAACGTATAAGGAACAGATACACAAACATATTTACGTTTATTTATATAGAAGGTGGGGGTCCAACCCCCAACCCCTTCCTGACCTTCCTCGTGTTATCCTGTATCAAGTTTGGTGCTGATTGACAAAAAAAATGTAGAAACATATAAGGAACAGATACACAAACATATTTACGTTTATTTATATAGAAGGTGGGGGTCCAACCCCCAACTCCTTCCTGACCTTCCTCGTGTTATCCTGTATCATTGTGTCAAGTTTGGTGCTGATTGATCAAGAAATGTGGAAACGTATAAGGAACAGATACATAAACATATTTACGTTTATTTATATAGAAGGTGGGGGTCCAACCCCCAACCCCTTCCTGACCTTCCTCGTGTTATCCTGTATCAACTTTGGTGCTGATTGATCAAGAAATGAGGAAACGTATAGGGAACAGATAGGCAATGACAGATATACGACCGAGTTTTTTTTTCCCGGACACACACTTTGCTTTATATAACAGATAAAATATTGTTCGTTATATTATATTATAATATTATTATATTAACTGATATTTAATGCTTAGTTTAAAGCCACCACTTACACAGTTCTTATCGTTTTGAAAATAGTTGAGCTACTATACTTAAAAACAACATTAACAAAGCATCCACAGTGATGTACCAAAGTCCAGAAATTCCTTCAATACCACAGACATATTAACAATTTGCTTTAAGAATAAACGCTTGTAATAATCAAAACGTTTACTTAATTACGTACTTAAGGTAGATCACGCACTTAGTTTCTTAAGAATCATCAAACCTAGAGATCCAGCATTTACTCCATTAGCAAAGATTTCAGAACAAACAACTTTATATCAAAATATAAACTTCCTTAAAATGAACACAGCCCTTTCGGACCAGCTATAGAACAAACACGTACAGATCCGAATACTGACTTCCTTGAGAATACCTTTTTAGGGTCAGTAATATTTAGTACTTCTCCTGTTGCAACAACTCGTTTGGCGAAACGGAGGAGGCCCAAGGACGTTTCGGGTTCTGCTGAGCTGAGTTAATAGATATGAATAATAATAATATTGAGTCATAATGAAAATTGAATTTCAATACACTCTTAAGCATAAAAAATACTAAAACTATACCCGTTCGTTTGTGATAATATAATATAATGAAATTTTTCACCCTAATAAAAAATAGTAGTAAAACAAGTAAATGTAAAAATGGGAGCAGGGGGCAGTGTAAAGATAATAAAGGATGATCCCCCAATTCTCGTAGAGATACTTGCTTTTTTTCTTGACATAATATATCGTGGATACACAAATATTTTATCAATGAAAATATCAAAAAAGTTATAACCATTTTCAATTTTGTTTCAAGTTGTTGTTTTTTTACAATTTTTATGTTTAAATATTTCACTTTATGTTTTGTTTTAAAATTATTATCATCTAATTGAAGCAACAACTATTCAAATTCTGTTTTCCACTGGTTGTAACTTTCACCTTATCGTGTTTTCTAATTAAAAGCTTACCTGATTACGGGTGAAAATGGAGCAAGAGGGGAAGATGTCAGTTCAAATGTCCTTGAAAATTTCACGTTCTGAAAAATATTTCAATCAAATGTCCTTGAAAATTTCACGTTCTGAAAAATATTTCAATCAAATGTCCTTGAAAATTTCACGTTCTGAAAAAATATTTCAATAAACTATCCTTGAAAATTTCGCGTTCTGAAAAATATTTCAATCAAATATCCGTGAAATTTTCATCTTCTGAAAAATATTTCAAAGTTTTACTTATGTCTCTCTTTACACACAACGTGATTGTAAACATTTTTCTCCTCGCACAAATTATTAAAAAAAAAAGTTTTTCTGACTATAAAACAGACGGATAGTGAGTCAACATGAGACGTTGTTTTAATCAGTCTGGCCTTACCCGTTTTTTATTATAGTTCATCAGTTGTTTGTAGAACATATTTTCACTTGTGACGCGGAAGTTAACTGATAAGGTGAGATATCCCCAAAGCTATTTCCGGAATTACCTTCTTCGAAGTCTATACTCTTTACAGCAACTGATACAGTTTTTCGTTTTGTTTTTGTTCTCCGCAGTTTGAATGCATTCGGGATTAATTATATGGGTTTATTTTCTTTACATATTTGCGTTCCTATTACTTCGCCGACTTGTGGTTCATACTGATAGGTTTATGTTTTCTTTATTATATATGTACAAGCAAAAAAAATCAACTTATATAAAAAAAAACTCTTCATGCTTCCTCTAATATTTAAATTTGTCGCTTAGAAGTTCTTTTCCCACTATCAAAGATTTCAATTTTTAGGCTTAAAATGTAACTTCGATAATTTTAATTTATTGATGGAATAGTCAATTTTTCTAGCATTTGCTGGATTCTCCTGGAAAACTTCTTCAAAAAACCAATAAAACTTGTTTTAACATGTAATGCATACCTCCGGGTGGGAACATTTTAACATGTAATTCATACCTCGGGGTGGCAACATTTTAACATGTAATTCATACTTCGGGGTGGCAACATTTTAACATGTAATTCATACCTCCGGGTGGCAACATTTTAACATGTAATTCATACCTCGGGGTGGCAACATTTTAACATGTAATTCATACTTCGGGGTGGCAACATTTTAACATGTAATTCATACCTCCGGGTGGCAACATTTTAACATGTAATTCATACCTCCGGGTGGCAACATTTTAACATATAATGCATACCTCCGGGTGGCAACATTTTAACATATAATGCATACCTCGGGGTGGCAACATTTTAACAATGTTTTCATTTGCATCAAGAATATCATTGATGATATTTGAAAGTACATCTGGAAGACCCCGGATTTAGCTCCGTCATGAGAGATATTAAATAGCCCCGTGGGACTGAGAACAAGTATGTACCCCGGAGATATGCATTACATGTTAAAATGTTGCCACCCCGGAGGTATGAATTACATGTTAAAATGTTGCCACCCCGAAGTATGAATTACATGTTAAAATGTTGCCACCCCGAGGTATGAATTACATGTTAAAATGTTGCCACCCCGAGGTACGCATTACATGTTAAAATGTTGCCACCCCGAGGTATGCATTATATGTTAAAGTTCTGAACAGTCCTTTAAAACCAAAAAATTGTTGGCCGAAACCTAACATATTTCAACATGACGTGTAAAATCTTTTAATGCTTTGAAAGCATGAATATAAAATTAAATCTCATAAGATATAACAGTTTTTATTTGTTTCTTTATAGTTAAACACAAGGCTACACAATGAACTATCGTTTTTTAGTGGTGTGAGCCCTCAGACTTACCGCTGAGCCACTGGGGGACAGTCTTTTAAATAAAGTAACGAAATTTGGCTAGTAGATGAAAAATATCCAAGTTTCTGAAGACTATAAGTAAACTTACCAACTTTTTCGTATATAAAACACGCTGTTTGTTTATGTCATCATTTTTATTTCGTTGTATTTTATGCCTAAAATGTGTATTTTGTTTTGACGGCTTGCTGGAGAATTTCATCGACCATCTACGGAATTAAATTTGTATAGTGATCTTTTTTCTCCTTATCCATTTCAATCGTGATAAAAGCCTTCTGTAATGGCATTGCTGTTTTATAAGGCGGTTAGCAATATTGGAATTCAAGGTCAAATATAAATCATATATATATATATATATAATATTGTATTTTAGTCTAACGTTTTTTTTTCTATTAACCTAGGGCGTGCGATGGATGTAACGATCAGATGTATAATTTACTTTCATGAATATTATAAATAATTGACGTAAGAGAGATGGAAATTCAGTGGCTGTTTAATTATTCATTTACATCCGTGCGACGTACCTAAGGTGTTTTTATTACGTGTATATGATCGGTTGTTTTTATACACACAAAAAGTTAGGCCTAACCTCGCTCTCGGATCCCTCTTGAAGGAGTAAAACGGCCGCTTTTTCACATTTCAGCAACTGTTGCGCCCTCTGCATAATCTTCAGGATAACTTTCTCTAGCGACGTCTGTTCTTCGAATAAGTCGTGGGCAACTTCTAGTAGTGACTGTTAACATTTGTTAAAACGATTTAAGTTACATAAGCGAAGAATTAAGTTTGCTTTAAAACATTATTGCAACTGAATGAATAAAAAAATATCAAGAATCGTTAACAATGGCTAGTTGAAACTAAGTTATTCTTTCAGTTACTGTTGTTGATTTGTGTGTGTGTGTATCCTGTCCACTACCGGGAGTCGAACCCCGGATTTCAGAGTTGTAAGTTTGTAAACTTTCCGCTGACCACCATTCTTTCAAACAAATTAGCTAAGCCTCGTAGTAACATTTTTCTTGTAAGTCGTTTGAAATTTAAACCTGTCTTTATTTACTTTGTATAAGTAGAAAACTATTAAGGTATAATATAAATCAGACGTTTATCAAGAAATCTGCACTGAGGTAGCAATCATATCAGCAACTTTTTCAAATTTGTTTCAAGTATCTTAAGCGTTCTGTGGTTAAAATTTTTTTTTTTCATTGTCACTTTTACTTGCAGGTAAGCTCGACTCCGGTGGAAATGTGATTAACATTCTCCAGATCGAGCAAAGTTTATTACGGTTGCCTGAAGGTTAATTCACTTGCAGTTAAGTGTTGAGAATTTTACATTTGAATTCTTTTTTTTTTTTACTTATTTATTTTATATAACGAAACCCCCCTATCCCCCTCCCTCCCCGCACACACACACATAAACTAGTTTAAGTGAAATCATCTGATCTTGGTTGAAAAGTGGCTAAAAAATTCAGTTTTTCGTGTGAGAAGTGAAGACACTCAACGTGTGATTTTATTATATTTCATTCTATTTAAACAAACTAATGAATCTAAGGCTTTGAGTACAGAACGCTTCTTTCTTCGACGTTATTTTACTTTTTTTATTTTGTTGCTTTCTGTTGCAGAAACTTTCAGATGTTATTAACTCCTTTACCGGTTTCAAAATTATTATTTTTTATTCTGTCAAACAAGTTAAACTCGGGAAGATGTGTGTGTGAATGTTGTGTAAGGAAGAAATATATATAATCGGGAAGATGTGTGCGAGTGTTGTGTAAGGAAGAAATATATATAATCGGGAAGATGTGTGCGAGTGTTGTGTAAGGAAGAAAGGTGTAATCGGGAAGATGTGTGTGAATGTTGTGTAAGGAAGAAATATATATATAATCGGAAAGATGTGTGCGAGTGTTGTGTAAGAAACAAAGAAGTAATCGGGAAGATGTGTGTGAATGTTGTGTAAAACAGAAAGAAGTAATCGGTAAGATGTGTGTTAATGTTGTGTAAGGAAGAAAGGTGTAATCGGGAAGATGTGTGTGAATGTTGTGTAAGGAACAAAGAAGTAATCGAGAAGATGTGTGTGAATGTTGTGTAAAGAACAAAGAAGTAATCGGGAAGATGTGTGTTAATGTTGTGTAAAACAGAACGATGTAATCGGGAAGATGTGTGTGAATGTTGTGTAAGACAGAAAGGTGTAATCGGGAAGGTGTGTGTGAATGTTGTGTAAGACAGAAAGGTGTAATCGGGAAGATGTGTGTGTGAATGTTGTGTAAGACAGAAAGGTGTAATCGGGAAGATGTGTGTTAATGTTGTGTAAAACAGAACGATGTAATCGGGAAGATGTGTGTGAATGTTGTGTAAGACAGAAAGATGTAATCGGGAAGGTGTGTGTGAATGTTGTGTCAGACAGAACGATGTAATCGGAAAGATGTGTGTGAACGTTGTGTAAGACAGAAAGGTGTAATCTTACCCTGTTTCTTTCGTATTCTTTCTGGGACATCTCGAAAAGACGAGCGTTGGTTAAGGCAATTCCACAAAACTCTAGGTACGCCCTGGCGAGCTGATGGAATTGTAGAGTTTTTTTTTTTTTACTTTCCTCAGAAAAATACGCACAGAAAAAACATATACATTTTATTAAATTAAAAAGTAGTTTGCATCCAAGAAACAATATAATTAATTCAGAGCAAGCACCAACTTTCTTTGTTTGGTACTGTGTAGAAATATTGTAAAACAAGTGACTAAAGAGATGTTCTCTAAACGATAAAAAAAAAAATAGGCAATGTTAAAATATAAATCATTTTATGTTTTCATTACCAATATCACTGGAAGATTCCTTTCTTGACGACTTACACATTTCAGTATCCCTGTGAGCTCGTAACTAGCAAAAAGTTATCAATTATTCAAACCTTAGTGGCAAAAAAAATAATTGAAAGTACTAAAATACTCTATGATTTCTTGTGTACATACGTTTTTTGTCCAGGAATGAACACAAACAAAAACAAAAAAAAGATACATGGAATTCACGAACTTGTAACGTATGATTGAAAACGTAATGTGTTTTTACTGTTCATGATAATGTTTAACTGCATGGAAAACATTCATTGGTGAACTAATGGTTATGAACGAACCAATACCTTGCAACTGTATATTTATGAAGAATAAATCACATACATATATATATACATACAATCATATATAATGCTTAATAAAATTACTTTTTCGTCTTCTTCGGTGAACTGCTGCTCGCCACTTTGAAGATTTTTATTTACGGCCTGAGCAACGCCTATAATCTCGTCATCAGCGTTTCTAATAGGCATGCAGAGTAGCGTGTCTGTTCTGTAGCCACGTATCTTATCGACTTCGTCATTGTATCTTGGATCCTGTGTTAGAAAATATAATCTAATTTGTTGAAACCGTCAATTATTAGTGTTGAAATACTTACAGTGCAGTGACCCATTTAGGTGATTAGATATATATAATTAATGAAAAGTATTAATACACTATATATAGCAAGTAGGCCTAGCATTGGTAAGCCTTATCCATAATTGCTAGCGTTTCTGTGGCTCCTCTTGTTTTGATTTAAAGTTTTAAGGTAATCAATACTTTTGTTTAAAAGATATGTTATATTTACTCGCCTCGTGTCTTTCTAATCGCCATGAAAAACTTACACTTTGAGTTATGCTTTTTCTAGAATTAAAGTATGCTAACTCTACATTAAAAATCTGCTTACTCCAGACTTAGATACAACTACTTTCTTCTAGATTTAATATTGCTGCTCCTAGATTTAAAATTGAATGCTACTAGATTTAAAGTTTACCGACTCTGAATTTACACTCTCTACTCCTAGATTTAAAGTGTAATATTTTTATGAAATTAGGTGTAAGGAACAGTGGTTGGAGTGGAAGAGGCCAAAAGCGGCCAGTTTTAGTTAATCTCTAAGGGATTAGTGGATTACAGCATTCTAAGTAAGGTTCGATGAAGGAATATATAAAAGAGTTCAACAAAAGAAAATAAGATCGGGAGATGTGAGAGAGAACGAATAAACCGAGAGGCGAATGAAGAAAATAATATGCTGTCGGTACGAAACAAAACCTAGATCTAAATCTACGTGTTGTTGACTATAGTTAGAAACAGCACATTGTTATGTTTACATTCATGATAATAATAAGTACAATCTAAATAACGTTGATGGGCATAACCAGGAAGACTGGGAATAGTACAATCGTAACAAAGTGGTGACAGAAGTGGACGATCCATAAACATTATTTATGTATTTAAACTTAGTCTTCCAATTCTACATTGAAAATTTACTAGTTCTAGATTCTAAGGCAACTGCTTCTAGATTTAAAGTTTCCTTTTTCTAGGAATCCCCGTCAACGAACATGCATGGCATGGCCAGGTGGTTAGGGCCCCGGCATGGCCAGGTGGTTAGGGAGCTCGACTCGTAACCTGCGGGTCGCTGGTTCGAATCCCCGTCACACCAAACATGCTCGCCTTTTCAGCCGTGGGAGTGTTATAATGTGACGGTCAATCCCACTATTCGTTGGTAAAAGAGTAACCCCAGAGTTGGCGGTGGGTAGTGTTGACTAGCTGTCTTTCCTCTAGTCTATAACTGCTAAATTAGGGACGGCTAGCGCACATAGCCTTACGCGAAATTTCAAACAAACCAAACCTTTTCCTACAAGTATGTTGTAGTGTGAAACGTACCTGATTAGGGTTAATTAGGTTCACCGTCATTCCAGTGTTTGCCACATGACCTATGATGCCAGTGCCCCATGGAACTTTGATTTCGTCGTCCTTTCCAGAGCCAGGCAAGAAAATGTCCGTCCCACAATGCACATCGAAAACCTTAGAGACTAACATCCGCTTGTCTTTCGGTCCTTCAATGAGATACAAAGACGCACAATCACTGTCCACAAGGACTGCAAGGTTAGTAATAATTTTCCAAGTCAGACTTTTAGCGTCAAGGTCATGAGCTATCTCCTGAACAATCTCCAGGAAAAACTGTCGTTCATTTGTAAATCTAAGTTCCCGTTTCGCCTCTACCCCTTTCGAAGGTACCCGTGGTATTCGAACTTTGGATTCAATTAGGTGATTTAGAATGTGACTAGACCGAGATGGCAAAGAGAGATATCTCCTGAAGTCTCGAAAACTGTGTCTCCGCGCGTGGGTTGGACTATCGGTACTCTGACTGATTGGTTCGGATTCTCGAAGTGCATTTTTCCTCTTTGAACGGGCGAAATTCTGACGAAGAAACTTTTTAGACTTCAAGCGTGGACGAGTTGTTAGCTGTGGTCCGTCACTAAAATAACCGGAAGTTTGGTCCACAAGCAGATGCTCATCGCTATCGTTCGGTGTATTCGAGTTCCGCCGCGAAGCGATGTACTCTCGAGTGGAAAAAAATCCATGAGTCATCAGCCATCGATCGATAAATTTAATGTCCATTTCCCGAAGAAAGTAATCAGCAGCGTTATCGCGGTGGTCGTCCAGCCAATCTTCTACCTCTGCGAGTGATAAAACCTTCGTGTTGGGAACTGGTGATACTTGCTCTGTGTTAGAAGCAGCGACCATCTGATCTTCAGATGACGCTTGGTCATCGTCACACGTTACCTCTAATCGACACAATGGCATGGAGGTCATCTACTGTCCAGGTGACTCAGTCAAAGTATCTACGATGAGCCAACAATAGTCATCGTCCTGAAATTAAAAAGTTTACACCTATTTTGGGTCAAAAATTAAGGGCATATATTTGTTGTTTTTGTATTAATTCGTTAAAATACATATAGAAAATTTTGTTTCATTAACATTTGATTATTATACTACAGTAATTTATAACGCGTGTATATATATATAGCTTGTCGTATTTCTTAACATACCGAATATTTAAAAATCTGTATATTTTCTTTATCTTCTATACAGCAACCTTTTAATAACATTCTACACAAATTTTGAAAAATTTGGTTTTTGTGACCTATAAAACGTGCGATTCGGTAACTAGAAAAGTTACTTATTAAATAAAACCTGATATTTTTGGGCTATAAACTAGTGAAGATTACGTTCTAAAATAATTTGATTAACAGAACACAAGTGGATCAGCTACTATCGGCAAAATAGTAATTACAAGTGCTTTAAAAGTGATGTTGATTTGGTTATGTTATTATAAAGTTTACTGTGGGTAAACGGGGGGAAAAAAAAGCTTATAAATACATTGTGCAACAGCCCCCCCAGTGGCACAGCTGTATGTCTGCGGACATACAACGCTAGAAACCGGGTTTCGATACCCGTGGTGGGCAGAGCACAGATAGCCCATTGTGTAGCTTTGTCCTTAATTGTAAACAAACATTGTGCAACAAAACTTATAAGACATCTTTGTTTGTATTTACCGGAAACCAAATTATACCTGTGTTATACTGTTTTTTGCACTTAAGCTAAACATATCTTTGCGGGTTTCAGAAGAAGTAGATTGATTCGATGTTTTTTAATTGTAAATGTATTTATATATTTTTGTATACGTGTATATATATATATTTCAGTGTGTGTTGTTTATTGTATTCGTATCTAATGGAAATTGATTTTTATCTTTGGTTCTACAGAGGGTTGAGCACGTTTTATTACAGCGATTTTGAATATGAAGTTCAGCAAGCCACGTGAAAACTACGACCGATACATATAGTCGCGATAGAACTGAATATATCACAACTACATTTTGGCACTGTTTGGTTTTACGTGGGTTGTGTAATGCTACCAAAAACTTATCGCTTTGGGAAAGGTGTGTAACAGCCCTTTCCGAAACAAAATATTAATACACTCAGTTCATAATCATGTGTTCAAATCAGGGATTTGGTATTTTCCTTATACTGAAAAACAAAGGAATATGGATCAATCGAGGGCCCCAGGCCCATCCAGACAGAGACCTGAAACAAGTCTAACTCACTGTAATAAACAAAATGCGGCGTCTTGTAACAGATGAGAATCCAAGAACAAAGGAACAACCAGCTTTCCTATACGGTTAATAGTAGCCACAACAAGCGGCGTGTGCTACAAACTTATTGCCCTTCCTCTAGTTTGCAGTTCAGAATTATGGACGGCTAAGACTAAACAATAGGGGTCTCTGACCTGGTAGTTTAGCCTATTTTCTGTATAAGTTATATATACAAACGATTAGCCATCCTTCTTCTTTTACGCACAGCGCTCCCTGGTGAAGGATGTGTAAGGTGAATGAAATATAATTGTTTTCTGCAATATATTAATAATAATATGTTTTAGTTTTGTTTGTTAACTACTGCAATATGCAGTTAATTATAGAATTGTTACAAAGCCAACTCGGGTATAAATTATGTAAAATGCTTGGATATAAGACGATCAGGTGAAAAATATACACAGAAAGAATTAAGGCCAATAAGAGCCGTCGTGACGAACTTCTGGATCTCCTACGTGGAAATATTATTTTTCGCATTAAAATCGTCTTTAGGTAGCTATGAAAATGAAACAATTTAATTCTTTTTTTTTGTTCTGTTGTTAAGAATGCTGATAAGAAACTGCAATTATAAAAATATGTCTTAGATTTAAAAATAGAACGTAAAACTTGTGTAGGACATATTGAAGTTCCGGTTTCAGAAAATGGGGGTTGTTTTTATTTTCAGTTAAGTTGTAAAGAACTTATTTCATCCAGTCTTACACTTCCTGCCATACGTGAAGCAAAAGGACATGTAAGTGTGCATTATTTAGAATAAAGAGAAGGTTATGTCGATATACTCAAGACGATATTTAATTATTTCATTGTTTGCAGTTAGATAATTAACAAAACATTAAATGCAGTTAATTTTCTATTTGAAAACGAAGACACTATTTCTTAATTAATCATTTTAACAATTAAAACAAACCGTCTTTTTCTGCCCCTCCCCCAGTGGCTCGGCGGTGAGTCCGAAGGCTTATAACGCTAAACACCGAATTTCGACACCTGTGGTGGGCACAGTATAGATAGCCCATTGCGTATCTTAGCGCTTAACAACAAGCAAACAAAATTGTGTCTTTTTTTTGTGCATTGTTGCTTATAATTATAACTACCATTTATAAGACTGTTCGTAGTGAGAAAATAAAGCTTTTTATAGGATAATTTACTTTAATTTTTTCAAAAAAAGCTAATTAACATTTTGTCGTTCCCAAGGTGATTCTAATTTGTTTGCTTTTGTTTCAGAAACTTTTGCATTTTGGAGACATGAGAATCTATGTTTGTAAATCATTTGAAAGAGAGTAAATAAATCAAATTTTTTCACTAAACATTAATTACTCTTAATAATATACACAGGCAGAGTGACAAACGGTAGATCAGCCAGGTAGACAGATAAATACAGATCTATTATGACAACTTGCATATCCAATAACCTTGCTCCTGGGATAGTGAAGGCAAAGTTTAAAAGCCTTAGCCCCACCTTTTTTCTTTTTTTTTACAATTCAGTTGAGGTACCGTGATTGGTAGTGAACTTAACACCCAGTTATTCCTTTCTGGAATTGTTACAGGCTCTCCTATTCGCCAAGTCACAAACCGCATATGTTTCGAAGATCTGTTTGTTTTTGAATTTCGCGCAAGGCTACACGGGGGATATCTGCGCTAGCCGTTCCTAATTTAGCAGTGTAAGACGAGAGGGAAAACAGCTAGTCATTACTACCCACCGCCAACTCTTGGGGTACTCTTTTACCAACGAATAGTGCCGATTGACCGCAACATTATAACGCCCCCACGACTGAAAGGGCGAGCGTGTTTAGTGGGACGGGGATTCGAAACCCTCAGATTGCGACTCAAGCGCCCTAACCACCAATAGAAACTGAAATATAATGGTAAAAAAAAACGTTTGCATATGTTTAGTTTTATATCTGTTTCAGCTATTATTACGATCGCTTATTTCAAATTGGTTGAAATGTTTTATCAATTCTTAAAATACTACGAAACAAAAAATGCTCAACCATCTTCAAGAAGGCGAAAATAAAAGGAAAAAATCATTGATAAAAAAAAAGAAAAATTAATATCCATGTTTTTAACTAAGAGATATAATGTGAGGGATCTGAAGTCATTTTATATAAGTCACAGTTTATTTGCATATAGCATAAAGTATCAACATAAAGAATTTATGAGTCAATCCATTCCAGTGCAATAGTTCAGGATGTTTCACACTTAATTTAAATTTATTTGCTATAAAGGAATACAAATTGAATTTAATGCATATAATTCTTAAACATTATTAGGCTAATAATCTCAAAATTAAGCACAAAGCTACACAATCGGCTATCTGTGCTCTGCCCACCACGGGTATCGAATCCCGGTTTCTAGCGTTGTAAGTCTGCAGACATACCGCTGTACCACTAGGGGGCCCGCAAAGCTGTTTGTTTGTTTGATGTTAAGCACAAAACTATACAATCGGCTATCTGTGCTCTGCCCACCACGGGTATCGAATCCTGGTTTCTGGCGTTGTAAGGCTGTCTGCAGACATACCGCTGTGCCACTAGGGGGCCCGCAAAGCTGTTTGTTTGTTTGAGGTTAAGCACAAAACTATACAATGGGCTATTTGTGCTCTGCCCACCACGGGTATCGAATCCTGGTTTCTGGCGTTGTAAATCCGCAGACACACTG